TGGAGTGGACAGCAGGACACAGCATGTTAGCATCTCTCCCACTTAGAGGCTCACAGTCCTCGTGTATTTGAAAGAGCTGACTTTGAAATGTGTTCAAATTTATCACTACTTCAGAATTTAACTAATAAGATCTTATTAGGGCCAGTGTGGTGGCACACGCCTTTAATCCCAGCACTCTGGAGGTAGAGGCAGGTGGATCTCTGTGAGTTCAAGGCCAGCCTGGTCCATATAACAAGTTCTAGGATAGGGCTATGTAGTAAGATTGTTTCAGAAAACTTAAAAAAAAAATTAATGTATGCATTTAGGAAGAGAAATGTGTTCCTGTCTGGTAAGTTTGGTTTTCAGTGTTTTAGCTATTGTATTCCACTGCCATAGTTTCTCTGGTTTTACTTCTTCAACAGTGTTCTGAAGAGGGTTGCAGGTTCACTTGCTGCAGAAGGGCACTCACGAAACCTGGTATACTCCTGGAAGCTGCTGGCACCAAGCAGCTGGAGTTTGGGAATTACTCTTTTTCTTATCAAATGTGTCCTTTAATTTTAGTGCAATTCCAGGAGCCAAGGCGAGAAAGAAATGTACACACTTGGAATCACAAACTTCCCCATTCCTGGAGAGCCTGGCTTTCCCCTCAATGCCATCTATGCCAAACCTGCGAACAAACAGGAGGATGGTGAGACAGGACTGTGCATGTGAGGGTGTGTGTATGTGTGTGTGCGCACGAGTGCAAGCTCATCTTAACTGTTGGTGTTGATTTGTGGTTTTTCGATTGTTTCTTGGATGTGGTCTCTCTGTAGTCCAGGCTGGTCTTGAACTCATGAACCTCTGCCTTGATTGATGTTCATTTTTTGTATATGGTGTGGAGGCAAGCAAGTAGGTGTGGGTGTGAATACACTTGTGGGCATGTTCACTTGTGTGCGTGGAGACCAGAGATGGATGTCAGGTCTTCTTGGTCATTCTCCACATTGCATATTGAGGCAGGCTCTTTCGCTCACCCTGGAGCTCTCTGATCCAGCTAGTGTAGCTGGCCAGCTTGCTCAAGGAACCCCCTGACTCCGCCTCCACTGTGCCCATCTTACCTTTACGTGTGTGTTGAAGATTCACACAGCAAGCTTCTTCACCACTGAACTATCCATCCCCCCAGCCCAGTGACTGGTGCTTAGGTTGACAGTGAGGCACTCAGCACACATGTGTCACCTTACTCTCACAGAAGAGCTTGCTAACAAGTGTCACATGCAGAGACTGTTGGGCCAAAATGAATGTAGTTATAAGACCATTTGGAGTCAGCAAGATGGCTCAACCGGTAAAGTTGCTCACTGCCAACCCTGACAGTCCTGGGACCCACACCAAGGAAGGAGTGAACCATCTCCTGCTCATGCACGCACACACAGTGATCTGGACCATTCTTTCTTTCTCTAAGCTGTTCGAATGGATACAGGTACCTTGCTAAGATCAGTGTCTGGCTGGACAGGCAGTGCGTCTGGCATATCTCCTCACATGCAGATTTCCCTGTTTCAGAAGTGATGCGGGCGTACCTACAGCAGCTGAGGCAGGAGACTGGACTGCGGCTCTGTGAGAAAGTTTTTGACCCTCAGAATGATAAACCCAGCAAGGTGAGCCTTTTGCCCTGTTGCCTTTTAAGCCACCGAAGCCTTCTGTCACAAGAACACTCACTTCTGCCCAACCTGGAGGGCTTGGCAATGCAGGTTCACTGCCCTGCACTCACTAATGAACAGATTCCAGTCATGCACAGGGTTTGTGTATGGGATATGTAGCCATTGGATCCAGTCTGTGGGTATTATATAAAATGGCATGGCGTTTGTATATAGCCTCTGTGTATCCTCTGTGGGCTTTGAACGCCTCAGGTTACCCACACTCATATCATACCGAATTCCATGTAAATGATGACTCTATTGCATTGTGTAGGGAACAGTCACAAGGAGCAGTTGGTGTGTATTTAGTACGTGGTAGGGACCCCTGGGGAGGGTGGGGTTTGAGAAAATAGCACAAGCTGGGCTAGAACTGGCTACACATCCAAGGGTGACCTTGAGCTCCCCCTACCTCAGCCTCACTAGTTCTGCAGTATATGGGTACATTACTATGTCTGGCTCACACACCTTTCCCCCCTTTCTATCTATGGATGGATGTAAGTCTCACACCTATGGAGGGCAAGTAAACACATTTACTTTTTCTGCTGTGGTCACCTTTAATTTAATGTAAGATGCCAAGCTAGTTTAGATACAGTTGTGTGTCATAAGTTAACTGGAAATCTGGCCTGCCCTTGAGGTTGCATTGTGCCCCGACCCTGAGTTTTGCCTTGTGTCTTTGACAGTGGTGGACTTGCTTTGTGAAGAGACAGTTCATGAACAAGAGTCTCTCGGGACCTGGGCAGTGAGTGGAGCCCGGGAAGCCACCGCCTGCAAAGCCCTGGGCAGCATCACATCAAGGTGTACACAGTTCTTTGTGTCCGTTCATAATGGATCATGAAGTGAGGAGCGATTGTGTCTTTGCCAGAAAAGCTCTTGATCAAGAATTTGGGGGGGAGGGGTCGGGTGATCTGAATTTTCGGCAATTTCAAGCTGGTACTTAATACGTAATAAATGTCATTGCTTATCTTAGACATTGAATTAAAACATTTTTGAGATAAAGCTTACACTGTACCTTTTATGGAAAGGGGTGTGGGTGGTATATTTGAGAGTGGGGGACTGGTTTTTATATTTATGATTTGGTTTGTCTTTTTTGAGACAGCCTCACTACATATGTAGTCCCAGGGTGGCCCGCAACTATGCCTCCCACATGGGCCTTAAACCCCAAATCCTCCTGCCCCGACTTCTTATTCTGGGATTGTCGCAAGTGTCTTCCACTGTGCCAGGCCCCATCATAGTCTTTCAAATAATGGACATTTTAATGGTTGTCAGTATATATGTGCAGTTTCACAACCATAACCTACATCTAAATGCCACAACCTTTTTATCACACCCAAAAGATGTGTGACCTTCCTCCTTTGCTCCAAAGTCTTTCTGTTCCCAGCCTCTGGACTAACCTAATCTATTCCCTGTTTTCATAGATTTCTTTACTCTAGATATTTCATATACTAGAGACCTATAGTGGATAATCCAGCCCTTGAGTCTGGCTTCTTTCACTTAGCATGTTTCTAAGTCCCCCGTTCCTCATGTAAGAGGAATCTGGCTTCTTTCACTTAGCACAGCATCTTCGTGTTGTATCTGTGTGTAGCTCGTTCCTTTTTATGGCTGAGTAATATTCCGTCTTGGTGCAGCTCACATTGTGTTTATTCATTCATCATCCAGTGGACATTTGTGTTGTTTCTATTTTGGAGCTCTGACCAAACAGTGTTGCCAAGAACATTGGTGTGCACATTTTTGCTTATTCTATCCCTCAGTGGAACCGCTGAGTCACATGGGAACTGTTTAGCCTTCTGGAGAACAGCAGTTGCACTGTTTTACATTCCCACAGGGACATGCAACCATGCTGTGTACCCCCATCTCGCCAACGCTTGTTTCCTTCCTTTGCTTTCCTGTGACTGTAACATGGCGTCTCATTGTGCTTTGATCTCTGTTTCTCTAAGATGGGTAGTTGCTTTGCATATGACCACTTAAGCACCTTCTCCAGAAAACTGTCTTTGTCCATTTTCCTTTCTTTTTTGTTTTGTTTGTTTGTTTGTTTGTTTGTTTGTTTTGAGACGTGGTCTCAACTATGTAGCTCTGACTGTCCCGGAACTCAGAGATCCAGAGTGGGATTAAAGGCGTGCATCACCATGGTCTGACTTTGAATTTCTGTTTTGGAGACAGAGTTCCAGGCTGATCTTGAACTTGAGGAAGTCCTACCTCAACCTCTCCATTTCCCAGATGCTCATGAGCCACCTCACTTGCCTTAAATAAGTAGATATGTTTATTATCTCTTTAGAGTGGGCCTCAAGTAACTCAAAGGCCTGAAACTGTCTAGGTAGCCAAGGATAACAACTCCTCCATCTCCCAAGTGCTCGGATCAAAGGTGTGTGCCGCCATGCCTGACTGAGTGTCATTTGAATTCCTGAGCTCAGTGCTCTGGAGGATGTGTGTATGAGCTACAAACTAGTTAAATACCGCTTTCAGTCCAGCACAGGGCTATGTACAAACCTGTCTAGGGCTGGACAAAAGGGTTAGTGATAGAGGCTGTGGGTGCAAGCCCAGTGTGAAAAAAAAACAGGAAAATAAGAAAAAAAATTTTTTAAAAAAGCCCTATGTATATTAAAAGACACATCTTAAAGCAAAAAGGTGGTATTCTTGGGTCATTTCTCCCGGCATGTCAGTCCCTAGGATTAAATTCAGGTTGTCAGGTTTAGTGGCAATTGTCTTTACCTGCTAAGCCATCCCAGGTCATGTTGTCCCCTCCCCATGACTTGTTGGTTTGCGGCAGGGTAGCCTTGGCTAGCTTGGGACTCACTATGAAGACTGGCTTTAGCCAGGCAATGGTGGCGCACACCCTTAATCCTGGCACTCAGGAGGCAGAAGCAGGTGAATCTCTGTGACTTCAAGGCCAATCTGGTCTACAAGAGCTAGTTCCAGGACAGGCTCCAAAGCTACAGAGAAACCCTGTCTCGAAAAAGAAAAAAAAATTTCTTCTGCCTCAGCCTCCCCCATGCTGGGACTAAGGGAGTATGCTGCCACACTAGAAAGTACAATTTAAAAGAATACTTTAGCAATAGGCGTCAAAATTTGTATGTGTGCTGGGAACTGAACTGAATGGGACCCAACCCTGGCAGATGTTTAAGTATGAAGTCTTGTTGGTCCAGCCATTCCCTACTCATTGATGAGAAAATAATCCAGCCACCAGTCTGCTTTCCATTCCCAGCACCTGCCTGTAATGCTAGCACTCAGGAGGTGGATGCAGGAGGATCAGAAGTTTACAGTCATCAGCTACATAGCAAGCTTAGGGACAGTTTGAGATCCTGTCTCAAAAAAAAAAAAACCAGCAGCAGCAGTTGGGGTTGTAGCCCAGTGGCAGAACACTTGACGAGCATGCACAAGGCCCTGGGTTCAATTCCCAGCCCTTTAATAATAGTGGCAGGTAATAAATAAAGAGCCAGTTTGGTAACCTTGTTCTTTTCCCATAAGCATCCTGTTTATATTCGTCATTTTACTAGGGCGCTAATTGCTGTCATTTATCATCCGGTGAAGAAAGGACACAGTGCACGGAAATACTGGAACAAGATTGATTTGCGTTCTTTCGCTCTAACTTTTTCTTCTTCCAAAAACTATTAGTACTGAAGATCTTAATAAAAAAAAAAAAAAATCAGTGGTTGAGGCTCTGTCCAGAGATAGCTGTAGCACTCATGCTGAAAGCAGTTTGTTTTGTTTGCCCTTTCATTTGTGTTTACAGATGTTAGAAGGCCACTCCATCAGCAGGGTGTAATTTTCAGGCCACATCTGCTCTGTGTCTATGCTGAGATGAATCGTCCATGGGTTTCTACTTTGCCTTGGCTCTGAAGCTCCAGTTCACAGGCGACCTGCAGTGTGTTGACACTTTAAAATCCAGTGCACCCTAGCCTGTATGGTGACACACGCCTTTAATCCCAGCACCTGGGAGGTAGAGGCAGGTGGTTCTCTGAGTTCAAGACCAACCTGATTTACAGAGTGAGATCCAGGACAGACAGGGTTACACAGAGAAACACTGTCTCGAAAATAAAATCAAAACAAAGCAGTTTAACAATTATGAGAAGTTCACGGGGCAAATACAGGACTATCATGAAAAGAGGTAGTTTACCGAAATACACACCTGAAGTCAGCAGAACGGGCAGTTAGCAATCTGAGCCTGATGGACTGAGAATATTTGTTGCTTTTGCAGAAGACATGGGTTTGGTTCCAGTATGCACTTAGTGGTTCACCTTCATCCTCAATTCCAGTTCCAGCGGTTCTGATGACCTCGTCTGACTTCCACAGGCCATGCAGACAAAATACTCACGTTAAATAAAAAGTGGGGGTTGGAAAGATGCCTCAGCGGTTCAGAACACTGGCTGCTCTTCCAGAGAACCTGAGTTCAATTCCCAGCAACCACATGGTGGCTCACAGCCATCTATGGTGGGATCTGATACCATCTTCTGGCATAAAAGTGTCAGATTCATAAAATCAATCAATAAGTAAATCCTAAAAAAAGGTAAATAAATCTAGCAGGGCAGTGGTGGCACAGGCCTTTAATGACAGCACTTAAGAGGTGGAGGCAGATGAATCTCTGGGAGTTCAGGGACAGCCTGGTCTACAGAGTGAGTTCTGGGACAGCCAGGGCTACACAGAGAAACCCTATGTCTAAGAAACAAAAACAAGCAACTTTTTTTTATTTTATTTTTTTATTTTATTATTATTATTATTTTTTTGCCAGGAGTGGTGGCATACACCTTTAATCCCAGCATTTAGGGAGCAAAAGCATTTGGATCTCTTGGGCTACACAGTGAGACCTTGTCTCCTTGTCTCAAAAAGAAAAAAATGAAAGACAGAAATGTTTCATTGTATCATTAAATTTGGCTTTTGCTTCTTAGTTATTGTATTTCAGCACAGTCAGTTTCTCTTGTCATCCTATTGGGGTTTAGTCACTGGCTATAGACTTGATAGACTGTAGGACCAGAGACTAGGGTCCCAGAGACATGGGATCAGGAAAGAAGTAGCTGAAGTCTGAGAAGTAAGGGTTGATGGGTGTGGCATAGGAATGAAGGGTTTCCTGTAGGGGGCTGTGGGCCATGGTGACTGGACTCTGGATGTCCCAAGCTGCCCCACGATGTGCCTGTCTCAAAGCTACCTCTAAATACTGTCTGTCCCTTGCACAGGTGTCCCTGGAGCAGCTGAGAAGCCCTAAGTGTTGTCTTGCCAGTTGGTCCCTTCTATGAAAAGAGGGCCAACTGGTTGGAAAGGTGATGTCATTTATTCCCCTGCCATTGTTCATGCAAGCTTTATATATATATAAAATTTATTTAACTTTATTTTATATGCATTGGTATGAAGGTGTCAGATTCCCTGGAACTGGATTTACAGACAGTTGTGAGCTGTTATGTGGGTGCTGGGAACTGAACTCGGGTCTTCTGGAAAAGCAATCAGTGCTCTTAACCACCAAGCCATCTCTCCAACCCCAGGCAAATTCTTTGTCCCACCAGTGGGACACCTAATCCTGCCAGAGTCACTTAGAGAAGCCAAACTGTGTTTCCCCGTGTAGGAAAGACTTCTGAGAAACATCAGGGAGAGATGTAGGCCCTTTGTGTGATGCTGGGCATATGGAAAAGGCCTGGGGTGTGCCAGCTTCTTCCACTGTGGTTCCTTTGTGTCACTGTGCACTGTCATGTGACTTACCTAACGCTCAGGCCAGTTACCACCCTGAAGCCTCTTCCTTGATAAGAAGAACGAGGGACAAGAGAGAGAGAGAGAGAGAGAGAAAGAGAGAGAGAGAGAACATGATAGTTAACAGCACTTGTTATTTTTGGAGAGGACCTGGGTTCAGTTCTCAGCACCCACATAATGGTGCAAAGCAGGCACCATTCTAGTTCTGGTGGATCCTTGGGCACCAGGCAAGTGCATGGTGCACACACATTTAAGAAAAAAAGACTAGATCTCTGTGGTGGTGGCGCACGCCATTAATCCCAGTACTCAGGAGGCAGAGACAGGCAGATCTCTGTGAGTTCGAGGTCAGCCTGGTCTACAAAGTGAGTTCCAGGACAGCCATGACTACACAAAGAAACCCTTTCTCGAAAAACCAGAAAGAAAAAAAAAAGGAAAGGGGAAAAAAAGTAATGTGTTGGCACACACCTTTAATCTCAGAGCATGGGAGGCAGAGGCAGATGGATATCTTGAGTTTGAGACTAACTTGGAGCCAGGTGGTGGTGGCGTGCACCTTTAATCCCAGCACTCAGGAGGCAGAGGCAGGCGAATCTCTGTGAGTTCAAGGCCAGTGAGTTCCAAGCTAGCCAGGTAGCCAGTGTTACACTGTGAGACCCTATACTGAAAAAAAGAAAAGTCCAAGATAATTTTGGCTCTGGAATGTCAACATTTTAATTCTCCACAGTCATGGAGACCTAATCAATCAACCAGCCCAGCCCTGTAGAATTGTCAATATAGGTGTGGCTTTTTACTGGGAACATCAGTTCACACCAGCCTTCTTTGTACTTTGGTGGTTGTTGTTTGGGACAGCCTCTCAGTAAGTACCCTTGGCAAGCCTCAAACCTGTAGCCAGGATTTTTTTTTATTTAAGATTTATTTATTTATTATGTACACAGTGTTCTGCCTGCATGTATGTCTGCATGCCAGAAGAAGTCACCAGATCTCATTATGGATGGTTGTGAGCCACCATGTGGTTGCTGGGAACTGAACTCAGGACCTCTGGAAGAGCAACAGTGCTCTTAACCTCTGAGCCATCTCCCCAGCCCCAGCCCCATTAGCCAGGCTTTTTTTTTTTTTCTTTTGATTTTTCAAGACAGGGTTTCTCTGTAGCTTTTTGAAGCCTGTCCTGGAACTCACTTTGTAGACCAGGCTGGCCTTGATCTCACAGAGATCTGCCTATTTCTGCCTCCTGAGTACTGGGATTAAAGGCATGCATGCGCCACCACCACCCGGCTTAACCAGGCTTTTATTTATTTACTAATTTTTAAAATTTTTAGTTTTGCAAGGTATGGTGGCAGACACCTTTAATCCCAGTACTTGAGAGGCAGAGGATCTCTGTGAGTTCCAGGACAGCCAGACCTTCAAGAAACTTTGTCTCCAAAGTAAAATCTCTCCTCTGGAAGAGCAGCAAAGACTCTTAACCACTGAGATATCTCTCCAGTCACTATTTTAAAAATAATGAGCCTGGTGCATGCCTTTAATTCTAGCACTTGGGAGGCAGAGGCAAGATCTTTGTGAGTTCGAGGCCAGTCTGGTCTACAAGACCTAATTTCCAGGACAGGTACCAAAGCTACAGAGAAACCCTGTCTGGAAAAATAAATACAAAACAAAACAAACCCAAAACAACAACAACAAAAATACCCACCACCACCACCACCAACAACAAAACAATGATACAGCATTTCATGTAGATATTTAGACTGGTGTTGATCAGAGGCAGTCTTGGAATTATTAGCCTGCACCACCTCGTCCTTGACCAACAGATCTCCAAGATTCTTGAAACTTTTTTTAAACAAAACGTTACCAGTGTTACCCAGAGGCCAAAACCCATCCTAAGTGGAAGGCCAGCACTCTGCAGCAGGACAGCTTAATGTGAGGCACAGTGTGAGGGAAGAGCTGCGCAATGGCTAACTGTGGTGTTGAAAACCGTTTCAAGCCAGCTGAACCCTACACAGTGGACCAAGATTCCAGTAGCCATCCTCTACTTACTTATGAAAGACTTCCCCATGTCTTGAACCTGGCAAATTTCCTGACCCCATCATGCACTTATGCCACAATCCACCTGAAAAACCTGTCAGCCATGGAGAGGTGGAAGAGGAGGATCAGGGTTCATAGCCAGCTTCAGCTCCATCATGAGTTATAGGATAACCTGTGTCACACTTCTAACGAAGATCCTAGGGATTGGCTAAAGGTCACAGTTTGGTCTCTGAGAGCCTCCCAGCTTTCGCCACTGGTGACGGAGGGACCTATCCGTCCCTCTTCACGTCTGTTTCCAGCTCTGAGTCTTCACCGCCTCACCCAGACTGCCACTGGCTGCTCTCATCTCCCTTGGCCTCTTTCTTTGATGGCTTGTTCTCACCTAGGATTCATAGTCTTCCTCCGGCTTCCAAAGAAGCACACACCCCCCTCCCGCCCACTTCACTGGCCACCCTTTCTCATTCTCAGGTCTGGCTTCCCCCATTTCCGCAACTCCCACAGCCCTCACACCCTTGGGCCAGGTCCGGGCAGGACAGCCCATAGTTATTGATGACTTCCTGGCTCTCTGGGTTTGTTTGTGTCTTGATCCTTCACATAAGTGGAGTTGGAGTTAGCCAGCACTTTCCATCTGGCTTCCTTCACCTAGGGGAATTTTATTTTTAGCATAATATTTTTGAGATCTGTTTTTCTTATTTCATGATCAGTTTTTTTCCAGTTCTTTTCCCTCAGCAGCGTTACACTGTATGAGTGTATCCATCTGATTCTTCATGGATTGCTCAATACTCATTTCCATTCTTTGGTTACTGTTGAGTGTGTTATATGCCAGGTGGTGGTGGTGGCGCACACCTTTAATCCCCTGCACTTGGGAGGCAGAGGCAGGTGGTTCTCTGTGAGCTCAAGGCCAGCCTGGTTAGTTTCAGGGTAAGTTTCAGAACAGGCTCCCAAGCCACACAAAGAAACCGTGTCTCGAAAAACTGGAAAAAAAAAAAACCCAAAGTGACAAGGACTCAGCAGCTGGTGAAGTGGTTTCTGTGTCTTAGTTACTGTTCTATGGCTGTGAGAGGACACCATGGACCAAGGCAACTTATAAAATAAAGCATTTAATTGGGAGTTTGCTTACAGTTTCAGAGGATTAGTCCATGATCATCATGACAGGAAGCAAGGTCACGGCAGGCATGGCTGAGCGCTTTCACCTGATCTGAAAGATGGAGGCAGACAGTCAGTGAGACTGGACCTGGTATGGGCTCTTGACAGCCCCACATCTGCCCCATACCTCCTCCAGTAAGGCCGCAGTTCCTAATCATTCCTTAACAGTGCACTCGCTGGGAACCAAACATTCAAATATAGGAGTCCATGGGGCCATGCCAATCAAACCACCATACCACGCAAGCTTGAGAATGTGAGTTCTAACCCCGCATCTATGTAAGTAAGCAAGGAATAGTGGCTCAGGCTTGTGATCCCAGCACTGGGAAGGTAGAGACGTGTGCATGAACACACACACGCACACACACACCCCTAAATAAAGTAACGAAAACAAACCTTTTTTTTAAGACCTTGAATCTCAAATTTAAGCAAACAGCTTCAGTTTAAAATTTTGTTATTTGCATTTACCTATTTCCTTTCTGGGGGTGAAAGGCACATGGCTGTTGTGCCTGTGTGGAGGTCAGAGGACAATTTGAAGGCGTCAGTTCTCTTCTTCCACCATGTTGGACATAGGGGACTGAATTCGGATGGCCAGGCTTAAAGGCAGGAAGTGCCTTACTTACTCTCAGGTCGCCCAGCTTCGGTTTCAACATTTTAAAATTTTGGCTTCTTCGTTGGCAAAGAGGGAATTCAAAGTTTTAAATTTTAAAATTTATTTTGATGAGTGTCGTGCATACCTGAGTGTCTGCGTACCACATGCATGTAGATGACCATGGAATCAGGGGGAAAGGAGTCGGATGTCTTGGAGCTGGACTCACACAACGGTTGTGGACCGCCAGGAAAGGTACTGGGAACCGAATTCGTGTCCTTTGCAAAAGGAGCATGTAGGGGTTTTTTGTTTGTTTGTTTTTAACCGCTGAGTCGGCTCTCATAGCCTTATGGGAATGGCTTAAGCGTTATGGTTTCTGAACATGCAACCTAATAACGAGTTCGTAAAGGCTCGAGATGTTAACTGCGGCGTTAGCAGCGACCCTCGCTCATTCCTGTATCTCTCCTTTCTTACGTCCTCCCCCCGCCGCCCCCCCGATCTACTGGGTCACTTTACCTGGTAAACCATGCCTTGCACCAAGGAATCTACTTAGGGTAACAGGATACAAGCCACCGGAGGAGGGGGCGTGGCACCTTCACCTGGTGCGCACGCGTAGTTGTAAAAAAGTCGGCCCTTGGGCGCCTGATTCAAAAATTCAACTTTAACTGTCAGTTTTCCACCTCTGCTATATTTACCTTCTTTGTGATGGACTCCTTACAATGTTACTAGCCTTGTAGATGCATCCATTCCTCGGGCTGGCTTTATTTCAAACAAAGTCGGTATTCCTACTGGGCTTCCTTCTATTGCGTTGTCAGCCCTCAATAAAGTTTACCCCTAAAGATGGCAAAAACCCTGTCGCTCCCCGGGCGCTTCTTTTTACTCAGGCACCTCAATAGCTACCTATATCCTCGGGGGTGGAGCCGCGTCTGGACCCGAAAGACCCCAGCGCCGCCGCCATTTTGGAACCTTCCCCATCCTCGGCTCCGCTCCGCTCTCGGGAGTTCTGTCAGCTGCTGCTGGGCCGCGCTGTCGCCGGGCAGGATGAGCGTGATAGACCATGTGCGGGACATGGCGGCCGCGGGGCTGCACTCCAACGTGCGGCTTCTCAGCAGCTTGCTGCTGACCATGAGTAATAACAACCCGTGAGTGGAGGCGGGGAGCGGCGGTCTGGGAGCCGGGGCTGAGGTGCTGGAGGAACCGTGTGGCCCCGCCGAGGCTGCGCGGGCGGCGAGGCCTTTTCCGGCGGCGGCGGCGTCTCAGAGACCCCGTCCTCCGAGTGTCAGACCTGGAGGTCCCGCTGCGGCGTAGGACGGGGGCCGCAACACTCGGCATCGAGAGCATCCTTGGTGCGCCGAGTGGCGCCTTTTTTAAAAGTTTCCCTGCAGCCTTTTGTAAGGCCCGAGGCAGCCGCCGTGTAGCGACTCGTTTGGTTTTGTTTGTAAACAGGGCCTCTTGTAGACCAAGCTAGCCTGCAACGGGCTGTCTAGCCGAGGATGGGCTTGAACTTACTACGCTTCTGCCTCCGCCTCCCAGAAACTGGGGTCGCAGGGGTTTGCACCACCATGCTCGGTGTTCTTTTGGTGCTGGGGATCGATCCCGGCACTTCATGAAAGTTATGCAAGCAATGCCAACTGAGTGACATTTCTGGCCGGGTTTTCTGAGTTTCCGATGAAGCCTTGGGTGCTTATTGGACTCTGCTTCAAAATTCCCCACCATGCTCACTTTTCCGCGTGGCTCCCCAAGCCAAGCGATTCCTTCTTTTCCCCTGTTTCTTCTGAAGCCGGAGCTCTCACTGCGGGCCAGCCTCCCTGCTTGTGTTTTCAGCTACTGCAGTGCACACGCTGATTGACACCTGTGACTCCTGCTTAGTCTTCACTTTAGCACTGCCTCCTGGTTCAGGTTTCAACTCAAGTCACTTCCTAAACAGATCTCCCGCCAACAGAATTAACATTTTTTGATTTTCTGCTTCACTCTTGCCGTCTGTTGAAAAAGCCCAGTTCCCATTTGTGAGAAGCACACCTGAACTTCCTGAAAGTGCTGAGGAGCAGTGCAGACCGCAGGAGGTCCTGTGCGGCAGGCGAGGTCATAGAGAACATAGAGGAGCTAGGGTATTTGAATTCTAGTTGTCTCTGATTGGGAATCATTTTATTGTGATCCACCACTAGGCCCTCCAGATGATGTTACAGTGGAATCTTCCACTCTGTGCAGCTGTTTGCGTTTGGCTTAGCTGAAGCTGGTCTAGATCAGACATTGAAGGACCTGTAATGCAGACACTGTCCTCCGTTTCTCTTATTGGTGTCCTGTGGACCTTAGCAGTCACCTGCACCATTTTATCACCATCTTAGTGTGAGACGGGGAGCACTGGTCTCTGTCAGCCTGGGTTCATTCTGAAACTTTTCCTCCTGGATCAGTGGTTTCCTTTGTTGGGGATTAATGCTCTAATCACTTTTAGGGGAAGGAGTTTCTAGACAAGGTTTCTTTGTGTTTGCCCTGCTTTGTAAACCAGGCTGGCTTTGAACTCAGAAATCCACCTGCCTCTGCCTCCCGAGTACTGGGATTAAAGGTGTGTGCCATCACTGTCCAGCTGCCCTAATCTTTATTCTTGGGTCTTAATGATGTTATAGCATTGTTTGCTTCTCTAGCTAGACTAAATACAGCTAACCTGTGCTTTTTCTCATTAGGTTAGATTGGCAGTTTTTTAGCTATGGAAGCATTTAGGTTCCTACATTTATCCTTTATATGTTGAAGGTTTTTTTAAAATAGACAGTGTACACTCTGTTAAAAAAACAAACTAAAAACAGTTAGAATGGGACTAGTGGGGCTGGCTGGAGAGATGGCTTAGGGGTTAAGAGCACTGGCTACTCTCAAGAGGTCCTGAGTTCCAATTCCCAGCAACCACATGGTGGCTCGCACCCATCTATAATAGGATGTGATGCCATCTTCTGGCATGCAGGTATACATACAGAATATTCATACATAAACTATAAATAAATTTAAAAAGTGAAAATAATAAAAAGCAGTACTGGTGACAAAGTTCAGTGGTACAATACTTAAGTAGAATGTTTGAGGCCCTAGGTTTCATCCTTAAAAAAAAAAGAGGTCAAGTTGGCTAAATACTTTATATAAAGTTACATAATAAACTCAAGGAATCAAAGGTTGGGATGGTTTGTGATAGCTTTCCTAAGGCTGGAGATGTAGCACAGACATATAGAGCCCACCTAGCATGTGTAAGACCCAGATGTGGGTTCCTGGCACCACTGAAAGCAAACAGACTCTTGTAGTTCTTGTAGACCAGGCTAGCCTCGAACTCACAGAGATCCACCTGCCTCTGCCTCCCGAGTGCTGGGATTAAAGGCGTGCGCCACCACCGCCCAGCTAATAAAATATATTTTTAAGAAGGTATCACAGATTAGTGCCTGCCAAGGGAAATAGGATTAGGGAATGATTGCTAATAGACTTGAAATTTCTTTGTTTTTTATGTGATGCACCTGCATATATGTACGTGTACCATGTGTACACCTGGTGCCTTCAGAGACCAGAAGAGGGCATCAGATTCCTTGGAGGCCAGAACTGGAGTCACAGGTAGTTGTAAACTGCCTGATAGGTGTGTTGGGAGCTAGGCTTGGATCCTCTATAAAAACCCAGATGCTCGCAGGTGGCGGTGGCGCACGCCTTTAATCCCAGCACCCGGGAGGCAGAGGCAGGTGGATCTCTGTGAGTTCGAGGCTAGCCTGGTCTACAAGAACTAGTTCCAGGACAGGCACCAAAACTACAGAGAAACCTTGTCTCGAAAAAGCAAAACAAACAAAAAAACAAAATCCCAGATACTCTTAACTATGGAGTCAGCCCAGGCTGATTTTGAACTGATTTTTTTTATATATAGCCAAGATTAGTTCTTAGAATGCCTTGTCATCCTGCCTCTGCTTCCAAATAAATGCTAGGACTACAGGAGATTATGATCATACCTGGTAGTGGTACCTAGTTGTTGGAGTTTTAAAATATCCCTCTCCCTTATCATATTTGTTTGTTTAAGACATGGTCTCGATGCATAGGTCTTTTTTATTAAAAAAAAAGATTTATTTATTATGTATACATATTCTGTCTGCATATATGCATAAACACCAGAAATGGACACCAGCTGCTGGGAATTTAATTCAGGACCTATGGAAGAGCAGCCAGGGCTCTTAACCACTGAGCCATTATCTACTCCTTGATATGTAGTTCTGGCTGTCCTGGAACTGCCTATGTAGACCAAGCTGACCTTAAACTCATAGAGATATATCTGCTTCTGCTTTCTGAGTGTCAGTGAATTAAAGGCCTGTGCCACCACTTATGACTTTCACTATTTTTTTTTTATTATGTATACAATATTCTCAGTATTCTGTCTACATGTATGCCTGGAGGCCAGAAGAGGGCACCAGATCTCACTACAGATGGTTGTGAGCCACTATGTGGTTGCCAGAAATTGAACTCAGGACCTTTGGAAGAGCAGGCAGTGCTCTTAACCACTGAGCCATCTCTCCAGCCCCCGGCTTTCACTATTTTTAATATGCATGCCTGCTTATAGAATTCTTTGTCTCAGTCTCTTCTTTACCTGTTAGAGAAAAATGCATAATCCCCAATTAGTTTGCAAGGAGTAGGACTGGAAGTATCTGACCAGGGCTGCAGATAGAGCTGTGGATAGAATGCTTGCCTAGCGTGCAGAGACCTTGGATGGATACTCCATAAAGGACAAAAAGTAAAGCAGTGTCCAGGCATTTAACCTTGCTGATAAGGACTAGTTAAAATGGTTTCTTTTTGAGAGTAAAGGATGAAGTTCTGTGATAGAAGGCTTGCCTGGCATTTGTGAGGCCTTGGACTTGATCTGAAATACTGAAAAAAGAATGTTTGAGAAATATGGGTTCCCTTGCATTATTTTTAAACACTTGAGAGTCAAGATGATTAATAGTGCTTCTAGTGTTGAAAAGTTTGCTTTTTGTATGTGAAATTAAAAAGAGGCTTTCAGATCCTGGAGCAATGGCTCCATAGTTAAGAATTTTTGCTTTTCTTGCAGAGGATTTGAGTTTGGTTTCCAGAACCCATATTAGAGGATCCAACATTCTCTTCTGACTTCCGTGGGCAACAGTGTATACATGTGCACATATACATATAAGTAATAGTAATGACTTTCTAAAAAGACTTCTTAAGGCTAATCCTTTTTCATCCTGCGACTTTGACTTTCCTATTCTATTCTCACACTGGCTTTGAAATTTTTGGGTGCTTGTTTTGTTTGTTTTGGTTTTTCCAGTCAGGGTTCCTCTGTGTTGTCCTGGAACTCTGTAGAGTAGGCTAGTCTTGAACTCACAGAGCTCCACCTATTTCTGCCTCCTAATGCTGTGATTAAAGGCTTATGCCTCCATGCCCAGTTCAGGTGCTTGCTTTTTCAGTGTTTTTCTAAAAAGAATTCATAGTGATAAATTTTCTTCTTTCTGGAGTCTCTGCCATTTGGTAATAGTCAAGTTGTTGAGATTGATATCCTTGGCCAATATTATCCTTAAAATTTGATGATAACCTAAGGTAATATAGGTGTATATAAAACAGTGCTAAATTGAGAGGTCTTATTGAGTAGGCATAGGGGGCCATTCTATAATCCTGTCACTTCCAAGGCAGAAGCAGGAGGACTGCTATAAATTCAAGCTTGCCTGGGCTACAGAGTGAGGAGTTATCTCAAAATGCAGGAAGAGGGTGGAAGGGCCTTAAAAAGAGAAGGACAGCATGTTTTCTTCATCTGTTTATTGGATTTGATTTATAGGTATCATTTAGCTCCATTCAGTATTAAGAAAACGCTAAGTTGCACAAGATGAGAATACAGTAAGATATCGTACTTGATATGTTGGCCATATTTGCACGGTGTTCAAATGTTGTGCCTCTTATTTAGCTACTTGCACTTAAGGTATACTAACTTTTCTATAAACTAACATACAGTACTTTTTGTTAGGTTTAAGTAAACACTAAGGTGTTTGTAGGTGATTTTTTTTTAACTCTTTGTGGGCCTACCACCCAACTCCCAAATAAATACATGGAGTCTTATTCTTACTTATGAATGCCCAGTCTTTGCTTGGCTTGTTCTAACCAACTTTTCTAAGTTAAATTATCCTATTTCTCTTTAACAACGTTTTACTTCTGGACTTTTTGTCTTTCTTTCATTCTTACTTTATGACTGGCTGTGTGGCTGGGGGGCTGGCCCCTGGCTTTCTGCTCTCCTCCTTTTCTTGTTCTTCCTCTTTTATCTCTGAAACCTAGGTTTCTCCTATTTATTCTCTCTCCCTGGCAGCCCCATCTATCGCTCTCCTGTTCAACTATTGGCCACTCAGCTTTTTTTTTTTTAAGGGTTTGTTTATTTATCATGTATATTGTGTTCTGTCTGCATGTATCCCTGTAGGCCAGAAGAGAGCACCAGATCTCATTACAGATGGTTGTGAGCCACCATGTGGTTGCTGGGAGTTGAACTCAGGAAGAGCAGTTGAACTCTGGAACAGCAACCAGTGCCCTTAACCTCTGAGCCATCTCTCCAGCCTCAGCCATTCAGCTTTTTATTAGACCAATCAGGTGTTTTAGACAGACAGAGTAATGTAACTTAAACTAATATGCCATAGTAGGCGTTCTTTCTAATCTTCAAAATAACCTGTGTAGGATTTGCTTCTTTTGTTTTCTAGTGAGCTGTTTTCCCCGTCTCAAAAGTACCAGCTTCTGGTGTATCATGCAGATTCTCTCTTTCACGATAAGGAGTACCGTAATGCTGTGAGTAAGTATACCATGGCTTTACAGCAGAAGAAAGCCTTGAGTAAAACTTCAAAAGTGAGGCCTTCAACAGGAAATTCCGCGTCTACTCCACAGAGCCAGGTGATTAAAAGATTTGATTTATTTGTTTATTTATTTGGGGTTTTTAAGACAGGATTTCTATGTGTAGGTAGCCTTGAATGTATAGGAACTCACTCTGTAGACCATATTGGTCTCAAACTCACAGAGATCCTCCTGCGTCTCCCTTCTGAAAGCTGAGATTAAAGGTGTGTGCACCACCATTACCCAGTCTTTGTCACGCGCGCGCGCGCGCACACACACACACACACACACACATAAATTGCTTTTTATTTTTTTTATTTTTTATTTTTTTGAGAGACGGTTGAAGTAGGGGTTGAAACCATTCATTTTGTTTTCATGTAATATTCCGTGGTACATGCGTGCTGCATTTTGTTTATCTATTCATTGATGAATATTGGGTTGCTTATTCATGTCTGCCATAAGTAATACGGCTGTAAAGGTTTGTGCCCAGGTTTTTGAGTGAGTTTGTTTTATTTCTTGGTTTTATATCTAAGAACAGATTGCTAGGTTATAAGATGACCTACTCTGTTTAATATTTTGAAGAACTGTCACACTGTTGAGATCATATTTTGAAGAGATGTTTTTTGTTATCTTGAAGTGTCTTCCTTCTGAAATTGAAGTGAAATACAAAATGGCTGAGTGTTATACAATGCTGAAACTAGACAAAGATGCCATCGCTATACTTGACGGGATTCCTTCAAGACAGAGAACTCCTAAAGTAAGCTGAAGTTTCCTCTTCCCCAGTTCTGTTCACCCTGCCTCATCCTGTATGTTCTCCATGTTTCAGGAAGTCTGTCTGATCATTCATGGCTCTCTCATTTTTTTTTCCCAGACAGGGTTTCTCTTTGAAACAGCTCTGGCCAGACTGGCCACTAACTCACAGAGATCCACCTACCTCCCAAGTGCTAGAATTAAAGGCATGCTCCACCACAGCCCAGCAGTCACTCTCATTCTTACACTTTCTCCCTAGTATTGGAGTTGGGGTTCAGACAGATGGAAGGTTGACTTTGTTAAGGAGCCCTGAGAATTTAGTTAGGTATAGTGGCATTCACCTATAATCCTAGCACTTGAGATGTAGGAGGAGGAAAACCAGGTGTTCAAGGCTATCGCAAAACAGACAAATAACATAAAAAATGTTTGGCTTGGTTTTGAGGTTACTGGAGAGCCAACCCAGGGTTTCAGGCATGCTCGGCAAGCACCCATCACTAAGCTGCAGCCATGACCCTTTTCTTTTTATCTAAAATTTTAATCTGGAAACAAAGTCTGACTGTTACTCAGGCTGTCCTTAAACTGTATAACCAGGACTGGGCTGGACTTTGACTGTTTCTACACCATCCAGTCTTGTAGTTGGGATCTCAGGCTTGCACCACCAGACTCAGCTATTCCTTTGCCAGCCTGCCTGGCTGCCTGCCTGCCTGCCTTCCTTCCTTTTTTCCTTCCTTCCTTCCTTCCTTCCTTCCTTCCTTCCTTCCTTCCTTC